GCATACTGTCACGGGGTTGTCTGTGTGTGTGTGTTTCACATTTTGTCCCGCACTTTCGACTCGAGAACCACAAAAGCTAGGCGGCTGAAATTTTGGTATAGTGTTCCTCGCCAGCGGGAGACGCGGCAAATTTAAATTCAGCCTTCCCGTACCCGCGGGTAACACGTACGGCCGCGTGAAAGTTTCTTACGGGTAAATTAATATCTCAGGAACTACGGAGTCTAGGAGGCTGAAATTTTAGGACAATAACCCCCTGCTTACGCTCGACCTTGCCCATTCAAATTCAGCCTTCTCGTACCCGCGGGTAACACGTACGGCCCCGTGAAAGTTTTTTACGAGTAAATCAATGTCTCACGAACCACGGAGTCTAGTCTATTTTTTCATTTTTGCTTTTAATTACTATTTTTTCCATAGCCTTTTTTCATAACCATAAAATATTCATATTACCTTCTTTTCTCATACTGTTCTTCCTTCATGCTGTAATCTACTGCGCCTTCGCCATTAGGCTTTCCATGGTCAGTCTGATTGCTACAATCGGCTTAGCCATTTTGAGATATCCTTGGTGCGTGTTAGGCGTCAAAATCTTGTCCACATTTGGCCGACGATGTGTGTTTTATTGATTAGAAGTTGATCAAAATTTAAAATCGCCATAGATGTGAAAAATGTTTTTTTTGTTATTTTATTTGAATATATTCATTTTTTCACCGATGCTTTTATAGAGATTGGGATGACCCGAGACTATTCACGCTAACAGCGCTTCGTCGCCGGGGTGTTCCTCCAGAAGCAATAAATATGTTTGTGGCACGCCTTGGCTTATCCACTGCACAGACATCCATTGATCCGCAAATGCTAGATGCAGCAATTCGTGATTACTTGAATCTAACTGCACCGAGGTATTATTTTATAGATAAAATACTTCTAGAAAATTAGGTTTTAGGAAGTTTATTTTGTTTATTCAGCAAATTTTCTTGAATTTTCTTCAAAGACTATGGCCATTCCATATTTTCCATGGTTCGGACTGCCCGTTTGCTTCAGAAATTACATTTCGGCCTACCAAGGGCCGCAAATTATTTAATCAATTTAACCTACTCCGGCCATTCCACTTGGACCATCCACCTATAACTCGGTCTTCTAGCAGTCGCTACTTTCCATGCCTTCAAAAAACTTGTTCTTTATGAGAGGCTGAGGTATTCAGAAATAGCTCATATGGAGTATATCATCTGCTGGCAAGATTGTGGACGGTTCCCGCTTTTTCAAATTGCTTAGAAGAAAACTGATGTCCCCCT